AGTCCACTAACTATGAACATTCCGCTCCCAAAACTATGGCCTTGTTCGCCGAAGATGCAATCGAATGTAACAATTCATCAACCGATGATATTTACTCCACGAAGGCAGCAGAAAATCCTGTCTTTTAAGGCAACGGTTCTGCGTAGCATTACCTTTTGATTATCACTATAATGAATCGAGAATATCAGAACACTCTTCCTGTGAGAAACCTCTTCTGGGAGACTTTGAAATGTTATTCCCATAGCAACAAAACTTCGCTTGACAGTCTGTTTCAATCCTCTTCTAACTGAAATGAAGATTATCGCGAATATTTATGGGATTTGAGAGGCGATCCGATTGGCAAAATGAGTTAATATTCACGATATCGGCGACATCTGTGGCACTGCCTTTGTCTTCGTCAAAAAAAAGTCGCTCATTGTATCGACGACGCATGAAATAGAGCAACAAACCGAAAATAACATTTTTATCCACTTTTCTTCAATTCAAATCTAGCTGAAATAACCCAGAGAAAGATATTATTCCGTTATGCGCATCCAAAATCCGCATTGATGTTATCAAGTACGATCATAATGTCAAGTGGGTAAGCAGATGGATTTTTGAAATACTACAAATACAGATCATGTCATAACATCTGTTAAATTCGAACAGACGACAACGAAGTTGTAAGTAATGTTCTAGACACAGTTGTGCTATCGATGAATGTGCCCCTACTGGATGACTTTAATCAATTGCAGCAAACGATTATCACCATGACAACGTGCAGTGATATAGGGAAAGCATATTTTACACATTAACGACAAAAATTGAAATGTGATGAAAGTTTTCTAGTTAAAATTCAGTTTTTCTGTGTGTTGTTTGCTCGATAACACGGTTGGTTATCTAATTGTCATAAACAAAGTGATTGGGCGAAGTTTGATGTGAGGTGTGTCGGGAGAACAAAGAGGAGGGAATAGATGACGAATGAGAAGAAATTGAAGAAAACGACAACAATAAAATATGAACAAAAACAGCAACATTTAACCTTATTTCGCATGAAATGTGAATTGAAATTGTCGTCGAATAAATGCATTACCCTTTTTTAAAGTGCACTTGCGGTAAAACTGTGAATATTCAACAATACAATTACTACATTTATGTATTAATTGACATTTCAGTTATGTGTCGTTAAAAGCATTTTCGATCAGCATTCATGATATGTTGCTTTGTTCGCGCTTCTGTACGTAACGCTCAAATATGAAAGTGTCGCTTTTGTGGGANGATTGCATGTTCATATCAAGATTATCGAAGTAACATTATCAGAAGAAAGCTGGCCGTCTTGTTTGATCATGCAGAGCAAGCAGCAGCAGTTCGTTTAACTCATTTGTTATAATGCAATCCACTTTTGAGGCTGTTGAAAGAAATATGTTTACGTCGTCAATATTGATAAAATGCATTGAATGAGAACAATTCAATAAAGTAGCTTTAATAAATTTATTAAACAAATATAAAAATTTTTATTAGCGAATTGAGAGATGACAAGAAATTTGATGATGTGATGATGATGATGATGATTTTTGTACAAATTTTACTTCAACTGACTGATGATTTGATTTTTTAAGCTCTAATGCGCGTTTCGACGTGCGCTCATACGATAAGCACTTTCACGAATTTCACGACCCAACGACTGACAGTTCAACTTGCGAAAACTTCGAACCGCTTTCTTGAAGGGCTGAAAATATTTCTTGAATTATGGAACATCATCACTTGTTCAGTTCTAGCAGATATCAAACCGCTTCGAAACTATCGTTCTGAGTACGAAAAAAATGGGACTTAAGAATTTATTCCAAATCATTTATTTTCGTTTCCGATTGAGTCCCTCAACAACTTCAATCGCATTTTTCACAGATTCATTGGAAGTGGGAGAAAGGAATTTATTCGTCCGTAAAATTCCCTATTGATTGTTGTCAGGTGAACATGCTTGATTTCATTTTCGAAATATTTGCTTGCAACCTCTTGGCGAATAACACCAAATGTAAGGAGGTATTACGTTTGCTAGAAATCGTTCATTTCATTTAAAGTCGTTTTAAGCCTTGCAACGTTTCTTCTTCCTTTCATTTTTGAGGTATTCCATAGATACAGTAGCAGATAGCTACTGTAGATATTCAATGAAAAAAAGTCATCTCAGTTAACTTCATGGTGATCATGGCATTTGACCGTAACGGTAGATTGGAACAGCTGCTTTTGCGACTGCATTAGCGTTGATCACAGTCAATCAAACGCTTATGTATTTTAAGCAATGCGAAATTCCCTTCTACTTTTTTTTGGGAACCAAGTGGATGCGGAGAATATTCGGTCATTGAATATTCCCCCCATTGAATATTCTCGCCTGCTGAAGTTGCATCGCAGTTTCAAACGAAAACAACAAACCTTGTCCTTGTTCTTCCACGGCATGATTAGATTCGCAACAAAATCGCCTTTGTCGTTCTGATCGGCCATTATAAGGAAGCGAACATCCTTTCTGCCGGTCACCGGGCATGGACAGCCGTTTTCGTCCGAAAAATGAATCACCGTATCTCTGACCACTGATCTAAAGAATAATTCGTCCATTTCAAGAATTTTATGGTTCAGCTCTCAATTGTTCTCCGATGTTGAAATAATGAAGAGTTGTGATTCGTTTTTGGAGCATCAGATGATGTCAATACATAAGTAATTGTTCGGGGAGCTGAGATCGGAACGAAAACAAAACAAAGCAACGGATCAACGAACCTTTTTCGATCGGCCCTCTTCAATGATCTTGCTTTTCGAACCTTAACATGCGACTCATTCACGGTTCCGATGCGCGCTTTCAGCACTGAAATTACGTTCGTTCTTCATTCCTTAGATAGGTCACAAAGTTTTCATAACATTACTTTTATATTGCAACCACTGAATATTCTAGTGAATCGGGCTTAATTTTGTGAGAAGTGCACTTGACCCGGAAAGAAATTTTGCAATTAATTTGGTGATTTCGGTGGTAATTTAGCCGATTGGAGTTTCACTCAGCGGAACATGAAGTGTATTACAGTGGTCGGATTAGTGTCGATTCTAAATGGATCAAGAATGTTTTAGCTATTGTATTCAATACGAGTGCTCAACATAATAGGTACGAGATGAAAGGTCGTCATGGCTACGATACTGGTGCATTTCGAGTGGACTGATTGATTTGTTTATGAATGGAGGATGTGTGCATGAAAAGTTCATGATTATATAGGTTGTACGGATTAGATGTGATGAATGAATTATAGTAATTCAATGGATTAGTGAGATATAAGATAGGTATTATATTGAGTGATAAATAATGTTATGAATGATCATTAAGAAGATGTAATAATAAGCAGCAAGTTGTAGTAGCAGCACCTATTTGTGATCTGCAGTAGTGATCGAGTATATTCTCGTAAGTTCCGATCTGACTGCACGATTGGCATGTATGATTGAGGTCTGCAAATATGATCCATCGTTTCAATCGTAGCACATCAAAGAGAACCGACTGACAGCTAAAGAGTGAAACGAATCGGATCGCAACCCTCAAAAATAACGCTGTCCCCAAAGATTTAGACTCTAAATACCTCGAACCATCTAATATATCTCTTTCCTCATCAATGCTTTTGTGCTCCGATATCGAATATGCTCTGCTGATGCTATAATATACAATGATAATAATGCTTTAAGTCTGTTCAACACTCAATCAACACTACTCATATATTATTATTATTATTATTGCTGTTCATTGTTGATGGCGAGTATTTTACACTTGAAATTAATATTTGATTACTTCAATATACACTTATTGATTGCCAATTGGAATTTTCTTGTGACAAACCGTTCTCGTCACATTCGAACAACAGTCTAGTTGTGATCATTAAATTACTTACTTCACTATGCTGACAATGAAGACAGTTGCAAAACTCTGCTAAATTCCTATCTTATATTAATGTTTCTCACAAAAAATTACGGTACTGATGAGCTGAAACAGTGAAAATTCATGAACAGTAGCGTTAAGGAATAATTGATGAATACGAAGAGTGGAGCATACCAGAAGATTTTGCAGAGACAGCGCCTATGCACATATCATTGTCAGTTGGGTATTTCTTGCAGGAGAGCATTTCCGGCCAGGGGAAGCCGTATTGTCGCATTCGACCTTCGCAGCCCTCAAATTCATGAAACGTTTGCTTGCATTTCAACTAGTCGCTAATATTCTTACAACAAATCACTCACGTTTGAAGCATCAGAAATTTTTGGCAAGAACTGATCAGAAGAGCGGGGGGGGGGGGGGACTTAGTCAATTAGTACCTGTTGTACGGCCGTACATAGCGATCGACATGGCAATATGGCACGATCCAATGTCGCCAGACACACCGGGGCGAACAGTGAACAAAGGAACAACTGAAAATTACGGAATGTGATGTTGGTTCGTGTACGCTTTATGTTCACGATTCATTTACAAGCAGAAGGATAATCATTCTGCAACCCAACCATGAATTCCGCAAAATTTTTCCGCATAAGCTCACGTATTCAGTCTTATTAAAATGACTACTGCTTCATGCTCATTTTCACTCATTGTCAATGCATTAACAATAATGTGGTCCCAAAAAAATCAGTGTACCGCGACAAAACTACAGCAGCCCCTTTTTTGGAATGCTTCTATCTGAGTAAGCATTGTGTCAATGAGTGCAGTCTTGCAGCAGGAACATGCTACTGCATACGTATTCATTCATGAATAATTGTTGCACATGGCGATCATGTTTAGAACTATTCACGGAACAAGCTTCACTATCCTATTGCAATGATACACTTGTAGAGACGGCGGCATCTTTTTAGTAACTTGATAGCTTGAATCGGATTGTCACTCAAACACAAATCTTTTGATTCGTTTCAAACGCTCTTATACAGCGAGTGCTACACAAATTGCTTGTTATTTGCTTGCTTGCTGCTTGCTTGCACTATATGTGTGTGCATATTGTGAATGAGTGAAGATATTGCATTTCATCTAACTCAAGTTCATACGACGACGGCACAATTTTCAGTGCTACTGTATGTCCTTTGTGAATTTCGAGAATGTTTTAAGGATTCTTGATATGGTGCTATGAAGAATGAAGCAAACGAATTTGCATTTGTAAACCGTCTAAAATGATCTTGACAGTTTTGAGGTCAACCAGCGATTTAAGCTGCCTGGCCGTTATTGCAATAGCACTACTACCATTTGTGCTCAATGCAGAGCAAAAATAAAAAGTCAGCCAATACCTCCCCTAGGCTCTTCGAGAACTGACCTACATCCCAGAGGCTTAATATCGTTTCGAACGATTGGAAAAATGTTTCTTAGTCTTATTTTGAAAATGATGAGGTGTAAAGTGGGAAAACGTTTCCGATTGCTCTCAGTTTCCACAGTGATCCGGCTAGAAACAAATTGATTATCATGCGATTATAACCATGGTTCATTGTTGCATGATGAGAAGTGTGCTCAGAAAAGAGAAGTGTGCCTTACTTGAGTATCAGGATGGCAATTGAGTCTATGCAAGGGTATCCATGGAGCTGCCTGTTCGATAACTTCGTCAACGGTTTCATGTTCCAATAGATTTGGTAAACGCATTGTTGAGTACTGAAATGAAATAAGTCCGTTTCACTTTGACGATTACACTCCTAGTTATTGAAAAGGAATGAGATTATCACTGAATCAGCAAAGAAATTAACAAGATTGGAACTGGCGTTTTTAAATGTAATCACACTTTTTTTTGCTGGAAAATAATGGAAAATCAAAAAACTCAAACTCATAGCGTTTTTTCAAGTAATTAGCACATAAACTTGGTCATATCCACATGGATTTAACCGTGTTTATGTGGTAATTACTTGAAAAATGTGAATAATAAAAGAAGTCTTGAAATGTGATAATTTGTGTAACAAAATGCGCTGATTAGTGGTCTTTTGAAGTGAGTGAAGAAAAAGCGTTAACAATGTCATTATCAACAGATTTATGAGATTGAACTGACAACGCTACAGTAGCCACAAATAGTTTGTTTATGACTTCATTCGTGGCACCGATAAACGAGAAGAGACAGAAAGAACGATTTTGCTTACTTGAATACCATAGCAAAGAGTTAGATTGCGCGGAATTTCAACACATTTCGGTGCAGAGGGTCGATCCGAGGTTAGCATAGCCCATGATTCGGAGATGTACGCGGTTTGAATAGGTAGGGGGAACAAATAAAGGTGAAGTATGAGCTGAAGTAGAGGCCAGTTAGCATTAGCCATTCGACAACGACAACCAGTCATCGTGCTAAGCAGTCAGTCGCACCCAAACATCCAATCTCATATCCCGACGAGGCGCTCCACCCATCCGTTCAACGGGCACCAATCAGGCGAAGGCAAGCATTTTTGGTGATATTGATACGAGTAGTGAATGAAGGGGAAGATGGGTTATAGATTATGCTAGATGAGATGTGCTGCTGCTTTTTGGCAGTCGTCAACTTTGATGAAGAGGATGATGATGATCGCGATAATAAGTGGAACTGGGCAATGAGCGGTATTGGCTATGAAGTGTACGAATGCTCAGTTGATCAATCAGTCTGTCAGGTTTTTCATAAAGGGACCGCTTCGCCGAAGGCAAACGTGATAAGCACTTTTTCACACTTTTGTTGTTTCATTTTTCATGCTTTTTCTCTCTTCGTTGATTTATCGCCTCGTAATCAGTTCAAATGTCTGATTTATCGTTTCGCTAAAAACAAACCTCTCGAAATTTATCGCTCAAGTTACATTCATATGAATTCAGATTATTTATGTCACCCGTTCACAGTTTCTTTCATCTGAAGTTTGTTTGTGAATTATCTGAAGCAATCGGTGTTTCGCTGTCATAATCGCTGTCGAGAGCTGTGATGATTGACTGTACAGTTTGAACTATGCCGCCGAACGCAAACAGCACAATCGTTTCAGTGGAAATCAATCGTTTCGCTGCTGGAAATGCGAGTGAGGAAGCCGATGGAAAAATATGCTCGGTTTCGTTGAAATTCGATATGCCGCAGCAGCAGATGGAATGTATCGTCCGTCGCAACTATGTGAAGAGGTGTGTGTGTGTTGGATGCCAAAAACATTAGTGCTGCTGACACAATCGTTGCAGGCTTTCGGAAGAAGAATGAACTCGTTTCTTGAAATATAAATGCGATTTAAGGAATATGCCAATGATAGTTTTGATGCAGTTTGGCGGACCAGAGAATTATTCTATTGTGAATTCCAGCAAGGGAATAGTGGCGTAAAACTAACCAATTTCATGTTTCAGCCTACTCAAACTGTGAATAAATAGAGAAATTTTCTATGTAACGTATGATGATGATGATCACTAATTGTTGTGCAAGTCAACAAAGTTGAAATTGAATAGCGCGTTGTATGCGGATTATTCGCATTGATCAATTTGTTCATTTCATTTGATCGATTTTGTGCATTAATATGTTGGAACTTCAAAAAAAAAAACCAATAGTACACTATCAATGTTAAAAACTACAAAATATTTCCCATTTCCAGTTCCCTCGTCTTGAACGAATGTTCAAACGAACGAAATGTTCAAGTGAATTTCATTTTTGATGGAAAGAACTCCTTCGCACACTGACTGACACCAAATGAACCAAGAAAAGAACGGCTCGGAATTGAGAAATCGAAAAGAATTGGAATTTGTTTGTTGATGAATTAATGATCGTCGGAAACTTCAAACCGAAATTGTTCTAAAAACTACGCATTCGATAAGACAGCGATGAGCTGATTAATCAGTTGTTGATGCATCTGAATCACATTTTTTTCCATTGCTGATGTTTCATTCGATTTGTTTTGCTTTTTTTCTGCGCTTAGAAAACGATGGTGGAAAATCGGGAAACGCCCTGCTGGCAAACGATACAATTATCGTCGTTTTCGTGACAGCATACACCATGGAGAGTGGACCAAACAAAACTAATTCAATGAATGACTTCTCAATAAATTCACCGATTGATGCACTAGATAACTGCGAAAATAACAACCAGTTAACTTGACCAACCATGTTTGAATCATTTCACTGCTAGAATTTCAATTGATCAATTATGGTTTATCGCATAAATGCGAGTAAAATTCAGCAATTATACTCCGCAAGTGTCCGCCTATGTAAGTAATATTTCTAGCGAAAGCCTCATGAAAAGCGTGCCGACAGTGGAGTGATGCCCGACTGTTTGTCATAAATAAAAACTTCGAAAGTATTACTGACAACGTGATGATTGCTGCTGCTTTCTTGCAGAACTGAAACTAACCGATGTGTGATTCAGTGAAAATCGAGTAAAGTGCTCGAAATAAACACGAAAAGTGTGNGTGTGAGTGGTTCGCTGCGTGACGAAACCATAAGTGTGTTTGTGCAAAAAGGAGTGTGAAATATTTGTGTTGAGAAGGTTTTGTGGTTGGTTTGAACGATTTGAATTTTTGGAAACGTTCCGTTGGAAGGAACGTCATGAGACGACGATGAACAACAGTGACAAATTGTTTTGTAAGACGAAACTCTTTGATGTGAAGCGCCGCTCAATGAACATTTCAGAAACGGTTAAATTGACGACGCATTTTGATTGAAGTTTGTTTACATTTTATTCACTTCGATGATCAATTGAACGAAGTGTGTGTTTTGAATGCAAGAAGATGTGGATAGGAAACGCCGCTGAAGAAAGGAGAAACGTCGTGTGGGAAAACTCAAGATTTTGCTTCATTTTAATAGTCATTTTATGGTTGCGCCTCTTCAAATGTGAATACGCATTCATGTGATTGCTTAATATAGTGTGATGCAGAAATTAAGGTGGTGATCTTTTCGAACTCAAAACCCATGAATTGAACACGTATTTAGTGTTCAATTCGTTGCAACTATATCTTTGAACAGTTTGTTGTGTTAGGTGCAACATTATGAAATTTGTTTGATACTCATTCTGAATGAAGTAATAATTTTGAAACGTCTTGCTGGGATCTATTAAACAACTGCTAATGAAAACTAATAACAAGAAATGTCTTGTTGGATAATAATTCGTCGAGGGTGTCATTCAAAAGCTCAGCAAAAATTAGTCAACTCATTA